ATATTGATCCTTCCTACCCAGGAGCAGGGGATGTCTCTCCATTTTCTGATATCATCTTCAATCTCTCTTTTCAGAGTGCTATAGTTTTCAGAGAAGAGATCAATTCAATGGAGACCATCAAGTGCATTTTTATGCATGTATGTGATACTGGAAAGTGAACTCAGAACCTAGCACTGAGCTACATCCCCAACACTTTTTATTTTTTTATTTTGAGACAGGATCTCACTAAGTTGCCTAGGTTTGCCTTGAACTTACAATCTTCCTACCTCAGCCTCCCAAGTAGCTGGGACTATAGGTATATGCCACTATGCCCAGCTTCATCAAAGAGCTTTCATCATAGTTGAAGTGCTGTGCTAATTAGCTTTCCATTATTATAACAAATACATGAGATAATAGATTTATTTTAAAAAGTTATATTTTGACTCACTGTTTGAGAAGTCCAGTGCATGATCAACTGGTCCCATTGTTCTTACTGTAGCATGTACTTTCAAGCTTTTTGCATGATTCTGTGGTTTGGATCTTGAATGTTATAGAAATGTCCATCGAGTCAAAATAAACCTTTTCTCAGTATAAGTTGATTATCTCAGGTATTTTATTATAATGATAGAAAGCTAACACATATAGTAACTCATTTAAACTTCACAATAATCTATTTTACCAATATGGGAACTGAGACATGAAAAGTGTAAATAATATTGCTCAAAGTCACATAGCCAAAAATTCTTGATGGAAGAATTTTAAGTGAGAAGCATTAATCCAGATTCTGAATTCTTAACTCCTACAGTCACCAATCTCTCATAAATATATAATCAAGTATTTCTATAAATATCAGACCAGTGGTCCTTAATTCTAATCACTAAGACATTTCAAAAGGGCATTCTGAGCTCTATTATAAAATCATAGATATTTAGATTTTCAAAGACCCCTAACAGTCATGTGGGGCAAGGTGTAAGCTCATCCAATTTACTGCAAAGAAATAAACTAAGATCAGAAAGCCACAGTGATAGGGGTGTGGTTTTTATCTAGGCAGGGTAAAGCTTTCCACCACCAGACTAGGCCTGTGAGAGGTACGCAGCATTTCTGCTTGCATTCCACTGGGGAAGGCTTTGTCACAGCCCAAACCCACTAGCAATGGATGCAGAGGAAGATAGTCCAACCTGCCTCCTGGGGACGGAAAGGAAGGCAGGTTTGAGTGCAAGGGCATTAGTGTTAGTGTGTTCATAAAACTCACTAAGAACTTCATGTAGGTGACCATACTTGACTCACATATCAACCTCTATTTTTCAAATGAAAAAAATGAGTTGTAGGTTTGGATATGTTTCCCAAAATCCTGTGCTTAGTAAAGGATAATGCTAGAATTTGAACTAAGCAAAGGAAAAGAATCGTGACTTCCAAGACCATCAGCCTGTGGAGGATAGGAATCTGAGCTTGTTTTTGAAGGGAAAATGTATCTAATCTGCCTCTTGATGATGCTAGGACTTGACTCTGGCTCCTAACTATAATATGCTGCTTCATTTTAGTGAGAGAAGAAAATCTACAGATCTATCCACCCAAGAAAATAAAAGAAATGCAGCAGGAAGCAAATGAAATCATCATTCTTTATTTTTAGATTATCATATCCTGTGCCCATTTAAAACCTATTAATTGTCTGAAAAACTCTGAGTACATCTTTATAAACTATGTTTCAAAAAAATACTTAGACTTGGGCCAGGGATTTAGCTCAGTGGTGCCGCTGACTGCCTCACAAGCGCTAGGTCCTGAGTTTGATCCCCAGTACCAATAAATAAATAAATAAATGCTTTTCCCAAGCTAGCATTCAAAAGAAATTTTTTTAAGAAAATAATACAATTCAGAAATTTTCACAGCACAGAAAGGCCACCTCTCTCTTTTTTTTTTTTTTTAACCTGTCTTACAAAACAGAAAATGAAAAAGCTAAATAGAAAATCATGGCTATATATTCTGGCTGACTCTAATGAAATAGTCTTTTGAAAAACAAATGGCAAGACAGGTCACAAACTCAGTTTATTAATATAGTCTACCACATTCTTGGAAAGTGTTCACATTTGTAGAGAAAAGACAAATTAACCATAAAGTAAATATTATTCCCATGGTTTAAGTTCAAGAAGAAAAAAATGAGCCAATGACCAATCCATTGAAAACACATAGACTCTAGATGTATTTAACAGTTGCAACAAACATGTAAATGATGCTGGAGAGTCCCAGGGCCTTGGCTGGCATGAGCCACTGCATAAAGGGCAATGATCCACAGACCAGTGAAAGCAGACACTGCACAATGACTCAAGGATAGAGAATAACCTGGGAAAAGTGTCCTACTCCCTCCAGTTTCGCTGGATTTGGGCAGAAAACACAGTTTTCTAAATCTGAAGAGGTGAATCATAGAGGACTGCCTGTCCAGGAACAGGGGATGACTTTCCATTTTCTGAAGTCCTTTTATATTTCCTTTTCAGGATAATATAGTTTTTGTGATGGAGGTCCTTTACTTCTTTAGTTAGGTTGATTCTAAGTATTTAATGTTTTTGAAGCTATTATAAATCAGATCCAATTTTTTTCTAAATTCTTTATTTGTATATTCATTGTTGGTGTACAGTGGAACATCATTGATGGTGGAACATTATTGATTTTTTAGTATTTATTTTGTATCCATAGAATTTTTTTGGTCTTCTATGTAAAGGATTGTATCACTTGTGAATAACGATAGTTTGACTTCTTCATTTCCTATATACATCCTTTTTATTTCTTTCTCTTTCCTGAATTCTGTGACTAATGTTTCAAATACTGTTTTAAACAGAAGTGATGAGAGAGGACATCCTTCTCTTGTTTCTAATTATGCAGAAAAAGGTTTCAGTGCTTCCTCATTTACTGTCATGTTGGCAGTGGGTCTGTCATAAATGACTTTTACCAGTTACAAGGTATTTCTATATGTATTTTCATCACTTTTTATCATGAACAGATGTTGGGATTTTGTCAAGGGCTTTTTCTGTGTCTATTGAGATGATCGTGTGATCTTTGTCCTTTATTTTATGTGATGTATTACATCTATTGATTCATGTATGTTGAACCATCCTTATGTCACTGGGATGAAGACAACTTGATCATGATGTATGATGTTTCCAATGCTTTGTTTTATACTGTTTGTTAAGGATTTTGCATCTATGTTCACTAAGGAGGTTGGTCTGCAGTGTTGTTGTTGTTATTGTTGTTGATGTTGTTGTTGTTGTTGTTGTTCAGTCCTTGTTTGGTTTTGATGTCTGGGTAATGCTACCTTTCAGGAATGTGCTTGGCACTACTCCTTCCCTTTCAATTTCATTGAAGAGGTTGAGAAGTACTGGGGTTAGATCTTCTCTGATGTTCTGATAGAATTCTGCACTGAATCCACCAGACAGTAGGCTCTTTTTTGTTGGTAGTTTTTATTACTTCCTGTATTTCATTACTTGTTATTGATCTACTCAGTTTTTATATCTTCTTAATTAAATTTTGGTAATGCATATGTGTATAGGAATTTCTCCATTTCTTCTAGATTCTCCAATTTATTGGAATATAAGTTTTGAAAGTACTTTCTAATAATCTTCTGGATTTTGGCAGTGTCAGTTGTAATATCACATTTTTCACTTCTAATTTCATTGATAGTAGTATTTTCCTCCTCCTCCTTGATAGGTTTGGTTAAAAGTTTATCAATCGTGTCTATCCTTTCAAAGAAAATGACTGATTAATTGATCTTTTGTATTTTTATCTCAATTTCATTACTTTCTACTCTGATCCTTATAATTTCTTTCCTCCTATTGATTTCAGATTGGATTTCTCCTGTTTTTATGGGCCTTGAGATGCATCACTAGGTTATGTATTTGGCATTTCTTGATACATGTTTGGATTCACAGCTATAAACTTGCCTCTGAGAACAACTTCTATTGTGTCTCATAGATTTTGGCATATTGTGCTTCCATTGTCATTTGCTTCTAGGAACTTTTTTCATATCTTCCCTGATTTCTTCTGTGCCACACTGATAATTCAGTAATGTATTGTTTAATGCCCATGTGTTTGTGGAACTGCTGTGGCTTCTTTTGTTGTGCATTTCTGTGTTCATTCTACTATGATCTGATAGTATGCAGCAAATTCTTTTAATTCTTTTGTATTTATTTAAGTATGCTTTGTGGCCTAAGATATGGTTTATTTTGGAAAAAAATCCCATGTGCTGCTGAGAAAAATGTGTATTTTATTGTTGGATTAAACACTCTGCATCTATCTGTTAAGTTCATTTATTCAATGGTATGGTTTAACTGATATTTGTTAATTTTTGTCTGGTTGACCTAATTGTGAGAGTGTTGAAGTCCTCTGCTACCACTGTATTGGTGGCTATCTGTTCTTTTATGTTCCGTGCTTTTTTTTTTTTTTATGAAGTTGACTGTACCAACATTTGGTGTACAGGTATAGATAGATACAGATAGATTTGTTATCTTCTCATGTGAATTGTTTCCTTTACCAGTAGGTAGTGGCCATCTTTGTATCATCTTTGTAGCTTGAAGTCTGCTGTGGCTAAAACCAAAAGAACTATTGCTGCGTGTTTTTATCCTCTAGTTCCATGGATTATCTTTTCCATTCTTTTCCCTTAAGTCTATGATCTTCCTTCCAGATGAGGTGTGTCTTCTGTAAGAAATACATGGGTGCATTTTGGTTTTTGATCCAAACTGCCAGGCTGTATCTTTTGAGTGGGAAATTAAAACCATTGATATTGACAGTTATTATTGTGAGGTGTTTACTGAATCCTGTCATTGCATTATTTTTCCTGTGATGATTCCTTTGTGGGGTTTTTTTCTTTTTATATAACTACTCTCCCAGTTAGATAAGTACTTCCCTTTGCATTATTTGGTGCTGGTGGCCTCCCCCTCTCGGTCTACATTCCCTTGAGTATATTCTGCAATGCTGGTTTAGTGGTCATGTATATTTCCTTAGGATTTCTTCATCATGGAAAGTCTACTTCTCTGTCAATTTTGTAGCCTAATTTTGCAGAATATAAAAGTCTGAGTTGATGACTGATTTCTTTTAGGCATTAAAAATTTTTGTCTCAGTGAGTGTGATGGTGCATGCCTGTAATCCTGAACCCAGGTGTCTGAGGAAGGAGGACTGCTGCAAGTTCAAGGCCAGCCTGGGCTACATAGTGAGCTCAAGGCCAGGCTGAATTACACAGTGAGACCTTGTCTCAAACACACACAAACACACACACACACACACACGTACACAAATGCTTTGTCCCAAGCTCTCCTGGCCTTTTTAGGTTTGTGCTGAGAAAGCTGATGTAATTCAAATAGGTTTGCCTTTATAAATAACTTGCTGCTTTTCTCCAAAAACTTTTTTTGTTCTCATTTTGTTGTTGTTGAATTTTTGGTTGAATTTCTGGAATTAATACAGAGTTCTTTTCTGGTTATAGCTTCTTGGAGTTCTGTTGCTATCCTTGAACGTTGAATCCTTTCCCTAGATTTGGAAATTTTTCGGCTATGATTTCAGTGAATAAATTTTTATCCTTTTTGTGTTGCCTTCTAATTTTCTCTTTATTCTTATAATTCAGGTATTTGGGGTTTTTTTAGTCATCTAGCAGCTGTTGGATCCAGATTACATGTTGTCTTGAGTTTATGATCTACTACATCCACCTTATCTTCAATTTGTGACACTCTATTCCTTATGTTGATTCAATCTGTCAGCCATGCTTTCTATTGAATTTTTCATATCTTGTATTTCTCTTTGCATTTTCTTCGTAATTTCTAATTCTTTACTAAACTGGTCATTTATTTCTTATATTGTCTTACTTAACTCAATTAGTTTATTGTTTGGTTTCTTAAGTCATTCAAACATTTTATTAGTGAAATCTTTTATTCACTAATAAAATCCTTTTTAAGTCTGCCAACCATCTAATGAAATTGCTTATATGTTTCACATAGAGCTCTTCAAACATTTTGACTTTTTAAAAAATTCTTTGCCTGTAATTTCCTCTGCTTCAGTGTCAGTGAGATCAGCTTCTGAGAGGCTAAGGGCTTTTGGAGGCATCTTGCTATCTTGTTTTCCCATATTTCTGTTGTTTTTATTGTGCAAGTTGAAAATCAGTTAAGGTAAAAAGACTCTATCCCTACTGTGTAGATCTCTTTGGTTAGAATCTCACTGGATGTGTCCCTGTGTTTGGTTATGTTTGGATGTTTATACCCATCTTCAGCCTCCTCAGTGTAGCATTTGAGTATCTTCTTAGTGTCCAATCTTTTCCTGGGGGCTTGATCTCCAGCACCAAACAAAAAGAAAATGAAAAAAGAAAATGAGCTGCAGTAATGAAAAAAGAAAATGAGAAAAAAGAAAATGAGCTGCAGTAATGTTGATGACACAAAGACAGACTAGATATTTGTATATAGTAAAAACCAATTAATAACAAGTACTATGCCACCATTGGTAATAGCAAAGAAATCAGCACTAATAGTAGAGTTGGAGGCAAAATGGATATCGACATACAATAAAAACCAAAAAAAGCTACAATTGTACCACCCTTATCAACAGAAAAGGGATCTATAATAGTAATATAGACACAAAAGCAAACCAAATGTTGGCATACAGTATCAACTAAATGCAACAATGACACCACCATGAACAATAGAGAAGAGTTCAGCAGTAGCACATTTAGTCAACTAAATATCTAAAAATTAATAAAGCTTAATTGTAACAATAATAAAATGGAGGGTATGGGGAAAGGGAAAAATGAAAGCAGTAAAATTTGAGAAAGAAAGAAAAGGAAGATGAGGAGGAGAGAAAAGTGAGGTGAAGAATTCAACTAAAGAATAAAAGAAAGTTAATAAAATTAGATAAGAGTAACAGAAAAATGAGAAAAATAAGGAAAAGAATAAAACAAAGAGTAAAAGAAAGGAAAACAAGAATAAAGAGACAAATGAGAAAAAATAAACAAAAATGAGTCAAAAAATTTCTCTCTGATTATGTAAAGGTGCAAATTTCCAATGATGAATGTCATTATATTGTATACCTAAAATGTACCAATGATTAGAATGAATAATTGATAATGTGAAATAGAAAGAAAAGGTCCAAAGGGGTAGGGGAAGTGGGAGGGACAGGGGAAAGGAAAAAAGGGAAAGGAAAAATTATGAGAAATGGAAAAAATGTTAACAAAGTCTTCGTAAATAGGGAAGGGAGGGCTGGAATGGGGAAAAAATAAGAACCAAGATGCATCATGTGAAGGTATAAGTTCCCAATGAGAAATGTAAATGTATTATATACCTAAAATGTACCAATAAAATGTACAAATGAATAAAAAAAAATTTCTCTGTGTTTGAGTAAATGGGTTTCTTTCCACGGATCATGAGTCACAAGTAGGACCGTAGGGCCTATTTTGTTTTATACGTGTGTGTGTGTGTGTGTGTGTGTGTGTGTGTGTGTGTGTACTGAGTTGTCCCCACCTTTCATTGTGTCCAGGGTCAAATAACAGTTTGGTTTCTGCCCTGGGACTGTAATCGTTCCAGTGGTTTTCAGTGTTCATGCCATTGTATGTGTTCCAAGTCAATGTATTTCCACCTAGCTCCACAGCCTACAGGCTTGTGAAATACTCGACTTGCTCCACAGATCCCTCTGTCTGTGCACCCCTGGGTATGGTAACTGTCCAAGCCAAGGCATATCCCTGATCACGTTGGCATATAGGGAAAGCAAACAGACCACTGAGCTCTGTGTGGGACCTGGGGGAGGGGACTATGACACAACAGCAGTCTGTGGGACTCAATCCCAGCTCTTTCAGACCCAACTCCAGAAAAAACTGGTTTCACACCAAGGAGGGCAACACCACTGTGTCCTTCCCAGAGTGGACTTGCCATTGCTTAAACTTCTTAGGGGTCTATGACTAGCCACACACTCTGCATACGGCCATCTCCCACCAAGTCATTGGTGATAGGCCCTAAAACTCCTGATGTGTAGTTGTTCTGTGACTTCTGATTCAAGTAGCTCAGTCTTAAACAATCAGACCCTTCCCAAAATGGCTCCAATGAATCATCCCCAAATACAGCAGGCACACTACAGATTTCTTCTCCAACTCAAGCTTGTCATGTGGAAGGAATTACTTTCAGAGTAAAATCCCACACTGAATTTGCAGTTTATGACAACCATGGGCTTTTCTTGAGGCTACAGCTGCCAATCTGTTCTTTCTACCTGAGTATGCCAACCCTCTCAGGCTTACCTTGTGTTTGTGAAGAAAGGTCCCCCTCCCAGAGAACAGGAGTTAGCATTCTTCCCTAAATTGTTGTTTTCTGGGTACAATATTTGGATTCCAGGTCCTGGAGGGGCTTGGGATATGCTGTCAGCCTTCACTCCATCATTTTATTCCTCAGATTTTGTAATTTTGAAAGAACATGTTAAATATGGGGAGATGATGGGAACGAAGCTTCCCACATAAATCCTTGTATTAAGCTAGTCCAGGATTTAAGAGTACTTGAGGGTCTTCCACTAATAAGAACCACTGTGGCATAATGGAAAATGTGCAGAATTTGGAGTCAGACTCCAGCCTTACAGCCACTAGCTGTGAGAGCCGTCTCACTGTCCTGTATAATGATACAGGAGAAAACTCCCAACCTCCTAGATGTCAGATACACTGAGTTCAGTTCTCCCAAAATAGAAGAATGAATTCTAAGGAACAAAAAAATTAAGAGTAGAAAAATTTCTTTGAGAGAGATAGCTCCTGGGAGACAGGAGGGGACCCAAAAGTGGATTGCCACAGAGCCCACTTCTCTGAGAATGTTTTATAGAGCAAAATCATGAGGTGGGTACAAAATCACAAGGTAGGTACAATGTGAGTCAAACTATGACCAACCAATACAATTACAAGTATAGCCACTTAGCTAATATTGATCCAATAGGGAAGCAGGTCACATAGCAAAGTTACATGGGAAGAACAAAGACATTTTTGGGAAGGGATGGGTCCAGAGGTTCTGGTCACCCACCTGGGTGACTAATGTCTATCTAGACTTTATTGGACCAGGTGATACCAATTGCAGTATAATCTCAAGTTATTGCTTATCCCTTGGGGAGTCATGTAGGCCTGGTTATTCCATCTCTATCTTGAGGCCTAGCTTTTGACAAGATGCGCCTCCACCCACAGTTGTGATGTGTTCTCATCTTCTGTACTGACTCCCTGGAGGTGCTAGCCCTGTCTGACTGCCTATAATATTTCTACCTAACTTAGCTGTCTATAATAATAACACCTTTGTCTAAGTTATCTTGAAGTGCATTTGAAAGAATCAAAGCAGATAGCATATCAAATATACACTAGAAGAAACAACGTATGTTCAAATTTAAGATAACTATAGATATATTTATAAATGTATAAGTACATAATAGCAAGAATTGCCTATGCAGAATAAAAACTTAAACAATATAAAACATTTATAGTATGACCTTTTAATAAAGAGAAATCTTCCTTCAGCTCACTCCAGAAGGGGAAAATGTATGCCATAATCTCAACCTTTAATAAACTGGACTTCTAAATCTGGTGACTAATTCATATGTAAATCACTGAAAACATCTGCTAGTTGTTTTAACTAAGTTTATGTTGATCACATTTCTAATTGTGGTTTCTTAGTAAGCCAGTTGACTCATACAAGCACATCAATAAACTGACCTCTATAGGAAGTAATTAGAAATCTTTTTGAGAATTCTTTTGATTGAAGACCCAAAGTTTCAAATGATCCTTTAGAAATCTCCTGGGGTATTGATTGCTTTGTAATGTCGTATAAATTGGTAAATCATTGTTTGCTCATTCAAGACCACCTGAGTGTGGCTGAGTAGAAACGACATCCCAAGGTGCTTTTTGAAGCTCCTTGGCAAAAAGGATTCCTGAGACAGCTTTATTTAAATGCACACAGAGTAGTTCCCTCATCTATAGTAGGTAGGTTCCAAGACTTCTGTGAATACTGGAAACCATACATAGTACCAAACCCTATACAGACTGTTTTTAGTATGACTGCATACCTAGGATAAAATCTGAATTATAAATTAGGCACAGTAAAAGGTTAATGATACCTAGAATAAAATTTGTAGCAAAATGAGTGTAACCAGAGAACATTAAGCCAAACACAGAAAGACAAATACTACATGTTCTCTCTCATAAGGAAGCCAAACAAGTGATCTGATAGTAGAATAGTGATTAATAGAGACTAAGAAAGGTAAAAGGAAGGGGAGAAGAAAGAGGTTGGATAATAGTTGCCAAAACACAGTTAGATAGGAGGAATAAGTTCTAGATTGGAGGAATAAGTTCTAGCACAGTAAGGTGACTATGCTTCACAATAATCTGATATACATTTTATGAAGAACTAAAAGAGGAGCTCAAAGGCTCGAAACAAAAATAGTGATAAGGAAAGGAAAATGTTAGTTATCTGATCTGATCAGTACATTCTGTACACTTGTATTGAAATTTCACCTGTACCCCATAAATATGTAGAATTACTATATGTTAATTAAAAATAAAAACTCAAAAGACTAACAACAAGTAATAATAAAATATAACAATATGTTATAAATAAAGATATGCAAAATGTTCTCTCTTTGTCTGATTTCTCTTTGGCATATCTGATTTGCCAACATCACTGCTCTTGCACTTTGGGGCTATTAATAAGTAAAATAAGGGTTACTTAAACACAAGCATTAGTATACCTCTACAGCTAATCTCATAACCAAGGTGGCTACTCAGTAACTAATGGGTGGGTAGCATATTTGGCTTGGATACACCAAAGGGATGCCTCACATCTTGGGTAGGATGGAGTAGGATGATATGAGATTTCATCGTGCCACTCAGAATGGAGAACAATTTAAAACTTAAGAATTATTTCCAGAATTTCCCATTAAGTATTTTTGGACTGCAGCTGACCAAGGTGATTGACACCATAGAAAGCAAAACCGTGGATAAGGGGAGACACTACAGAGAAGAGCCCATCCCCAGAAGGTCAGTCTTATGAAAACTGCCCAGAAGTAGGATGTTGCTGTGCAGCCACTAGTTAGCCATATGCCCTTGAGAAATTCACCACTTCTATGGCCTCTATTTTATCACCTATGAAGCAGGACACCTGGGTCTAGTTCTGTCCTTACACCTGGGTGATAGGGACCTGTTTAGGTCCCAGTCTGGATCTTCTTGTCCATACATTCTCCTCTCCCTTCTCCAGTGGGCTAGGGAGACACAGACAAGGAATCCTGCTTACCTGGGGCCTAATCCTGTTTTTAGTCATGTTCTAGACCCCAGGAACCCTCAGAGTCCCTGCTCAAGTGACCACAGTCCTGCTTGC